AGTTTCATAAATGAACATATTCGTTTTCATGAACATGTAATTGATATGCTTAGCACTTAAGCATATAATTATTGGGTCATTTCATGCATAAAGATTTCATAGATAAGCAAATTCACATTGCTAACACTTTTTGTATGACACAACACTATAAAATTTTATTCGCGTGTGTAGGTTAAATTTTTAATAAGCATGTGAATGAGAGTCTTAAATATTAAAAGTGTAAGCATGAACTGTTTGAATGATACATTTTCTAGCATATAAAACTCAAACATAGAATAGTAAACCAAACACTAGTAGTCAACCTTAGGAGAAAGAAATAAAATGAAGAATCCTAATTTTCATAAATGACCAACAAATTAGGAGAAAAGAAACTCAACTTAGAAGAACCCTAATTTTCATAAATGATAAACAAACTAGGAGGAAAAAAAAACTCAAAACTTAGAATAACCTAAATTTTCACCATGACTAGGATCTGAAACAAGTCACAAATTGAATATCAAACCCAACAATAACTTTTAAGAAACAATTCTAAAACACTCAAAACAAAAACTAAAGAAGCAAACTTAAACAAAGTTAAAAAAACTTAAAATAAAAAAAATATTTTAAATAAATCTAGCACCAGGAAAGTCTTTTTCAAAAGAGTAACAACAACACGTGTTGTGAACTTATCAATCAATACAACAAAAGTACATAAGTTTTGCAAACTTTCTTGAGTAGTTTAATCTAAGCAAGACTTAAATATGTTCATAGGCATAGTTTCATAAATGAACATATTCGTTTTCATGAACATGTAATTGATATGCTTAGCACTTAAGCATATAATTATTGGGTCATTTCATGCATAAAGATTTCATAGATAAGCAAATTCACATTGCTAACACTTTTTGTATGACAAAACACTTTATAAAATTTCTTCGCGTATGCAGGGAAAATTTTTAATAAGCATGTGAATGATAGTCTTAAATATGAAAAGTGTAAGCATGAACTGTTTGAATGATACATTTTCTAGCATATAAAACTCAAACATAGAACAATAAACCAAACACTAGTAGTCAACCTTAGGAGAGAAATAAAATGAAGTATACTTAGGGTAGAAAACCAAATGAAATTTTGAACTTAGAAGAATCCTAATTTTCATAAATGACCAACAAATTAGGAGACAAGAAACTCTAAACTTAGAAGAACCCTAATTTTCATAAATGATAAACAAACTAGGAGAAAAAAAAACTCAAAACTTAGAATAACCCGAATTTTCACCATGACCGTCAAACTAGGAGCTGAAACAAGTCACAAATTGAATATCAAACCCAACAATAAATTAAAAATCACCAACACTAAATCATGCAAACCTAATCAATGTAGATCAACCTTGAATCCTTAGGTTTGCCAACGTAGAAATAAAATCGAATCCACACACCCAAGAATAGTCTAGTCTAGAAGCCTATAATAGTTTATTAGAAATTTAGCTAGTACTAAGGACTATGACATATAAAACAAACAACTTTACCCAATCAGATTATGTGAGTGCCGTAGAATGAGGTAACCCATAGTTACTGATAAAGGTAGCCCAAACCACCAAATAGCAGGAAGGTCAACATTAACTATAACAATAATGGAGATCTCCTACTATTTGGTTGTTTAATTGTCTAAGGATATTGATGCACTCGAGAAGATGTAAAGTCATGAACATATTGGCCGGGGACATTATTCCCAAAAATTAACTTAATCCACTCATTTAAACCTCCTAATTTAGTATAATTGTTCTAAGGTTAATGCTTCACCTCCATATAAATATCCTTCCAGCTTATCCTTCCCCAAGTCTAGGGTCAAGTCCAAACCTCAAATCCAAGTCTCACATCCAAAACTCGACTCCAAAACTCAAATCCAAAACTCAAGTCCAAACTTTCAATCTTAAAAATCAAGCCCCAAATCGTTTCAAAACCTTGAACCCTGTTCAACTTGTCGTTTCAAACTTCCAAATCTTTTAAGACCCCAAAACTTTCAAACTTCGAGTTCAAACATTGTTTTAAAACACTAAACTTTTTGAAAAAAGGCACTTTCAAGTAACTAAATTTTCAAAACAACTAAAAATTTTTCAAAACAAAAAAAATAGTAATAAAAAAAAATTAAACTCCTTTAAAAACTTCAAACATAAATAAGACTTTCAAAACTTTAAGGCTTCAAGCACTTAAAGTTTCAAAATAATTTTCTTAAAAAAAGAGATTTAAGATATATATAACCTTTTAAGACTATAAAACGCCTTAAGAATTTGAAAATTAAGCTTTTAAAACTTTAAAACCTTTCAAAACTAAAAACTAAAATATTTTCGAAACTAAAATATTTAAAAGAAACCTCAACAAACTTCAATAAAGTTCAACCAAATTTAACCAAATCTTACCAAACATTAATCAACTTAGTCAAATTGAATAAACTTTAAGAAATTTTAACCATGCCTAAAAACTTATCATGCTTTAACAAATTTAACAAACTTTATAAACTTCAAATAATTTTAACAAATTTAACGAACTTTAACCGTTTCTAACAAGCTTTTGCAAACCAAATAAATTATCAACCAATTGTTAAATAACCTTAAATTAAATTAAATAATTTTAAAAACAAACTTTCAATGACCATAAAAATAATAATTAAACCTTTTCAAAACAAACTTTAAATAATCTTATTAACCGTTAAATGAATCTTAACAAACTTCAAATAAATTTCAAACATAGCTTAAAACAAACCTTAACCAATTCAATGCAATCATCTCAGAACAAACTTTCAAATAAAATCAAACTCAACCAACTCAAGTTATCAGCTCAAGTGAATCAATCCAAATCAGCCTTACTCAAATCTTCCAATTCCACTCAAATCATTTTCAACCCTAGGTCTATCGATCTGAATCCCAAGCATCAATCTCACATACTTAGCGAATAATCATGCACGATGTAAGCACATACTTGAATCAAGAGTATTCTCGGGAACCACAAACTACGAGGGCTTACCCTCGTAAGGATACCAGATCCCAGAATAAAAAAAATGCTATCTCACACTTGTAAGGTAGGGAAGGTTCCGTAGACTCATATATCACGAGGATTTTCATTATCTGGGTGATTAAATTCATTCTAAGATAATATTTATATCCTTTAGGATACTATATTATTATTTGAATATCATGTTCAATCATTTAGATAAAAATCATCTAAGATATATGGTTGATACACAATAAAAAAAATCTGAGTGATTTTTCTAGCGATCCCTTTACAGAATCATATTACCTTTCTCTTCCTTGTTGCACTTTTCATTCATCCAGCAATAGAATGGGTCCACCTACCACACTCCGAGTCCTTAAACTACTCATTTAAACCATTTTAATAAGTATGCTTTAAGACTCATTTGATTGAGTTTTTTTTTTTAATAAGTTCATTCTTAATTCAATAAATTCAGAGATCAAAATGTAGACACCCTAGTAACATCATTCTTTGTATTCACGTTACAGGAATACACCATCCCTTAAACTGATTTTCTCTATTGGAAACGGAAGAAACTTAAACATTCAATCTGATTCATCTCAATGGTAGGTCTCTCATCAATTTGGAATTCGTTTTGATTACTTCAAGATGACTCATTTTTTGCCCTATGGCTTAGTTAGGCTTTTGGATTAACATTAAGCCTAAGACAAACAACATAAATATCTACTCATGGCCATAAAAATGAAGAATTAGTCATGACAATATAAAGTCTCAAGGAGAGGAATCTTAATAGTCTGGATAATATGTTTCAACATCTTTAGTCAGACTTCATGATAGAGCACTCTTTACTCTCATCGTTAGTATTTCTCCTCTTCAAACTACCAATTCAGATGACATCTGAACCCGAGATGTAAGGCTAGGCACATGCTCTAATGTTTCTCGAAGCATCAACATTATTTGTAACTCATTTATTTGTTGAACTACGAGCTCTCGTGTGCACTCCATATTAATCTAATCTTCTTGAGCTTGGCTTCTTCCTCATATAATACTCTTATACTAGTTTGCGGCATGGTTCACACTCATCACACCATACAGAATATTAAATCACCAAATATGTGGTATCATAACACTTAGATACAGCTTGCAAAAGAAGAAGAGTAAAGAAGGTGGTTTAAAAGATAGAGATGAAACTAGAAAACTCCCCTCCCCTCAAGGATGGTGTTCCCTGTTATAAGTTTGAGTTACCATATCCGAAAGTGTTACATAAATGACTATATCTATATATATAAAGATTCAAACTGTGAAAAATACAATGCAATATATGTTAAAGTAGACGATGATGTCACATGTTTATAGAACAGATTGACAAAAGTATATATGTTTTGTTGAATTGCTTTATCAATAGAATTTACTGAATTAGACTGAATTGCTTGATAAATGGGCCACCCCTCGTGTTAGTACTCTGCTTGATTGGATTAACTGAACTCAATAAAATGACTTAACTCAATAAAATGACTTAAATAAACAGTATATGCCGACTAGCCTTGGCGAATTGATCAAACTCAGCTGTTGGCTTGTGCTCTTTTCAAATAAACTTAGAACATACTTGTTCGGGTCATGTGCCAGAAATGATCCAAAACTTGGCCAACATTGGTCCTTCATTGATATGCACTACCTAAGATAAATTAAGAAATTACCATTCTAATTTTCAAATTGAGTGGGAAAGAGAGTGGCATAGAGATCTATAACAACTAACAAAACCAAATAAAGACAACATAAAGAAGTGGACAAGATGGAGCAAATTGAGTGGACCATTAACAACAAATCATACGCTACATTAATGTTAGAATAGATATTTGAAGTCATAACAGTTACCTGCATGGTGAAGGTAAAATGACTCTCCAGGAACAATGATATGGCCAGGTTATGCAACTAAGACCAAAATAAAAATGTCAAATCCGTGAAATGCCTAACAACAACTATATCACAACAACAGTTGATCATGAAATTATAATATTTCCCCATAGCTACTTTTTACAAGGTTCAAGCAAAGTTCCTATAAATTTAGCATTACGGCATGCTCATCTCCAAAAAATGTTTAGACCAAATGATGAAAGGGAACATGTACAAACAAAATATAACCGGATTTTATCAAGAGAACTAGTTATTTAGGATGGCACAAACTCCAGTCTACAACCAGCAAAAAGCAAAGTATAAAAACTAGACTCTCAATAATAAATTCATAAAGGAAGTTTATTTTACTGTACAGACTGATGAGGCTCCTTTTACCTGCTAGGGAACAGCATATGGCAGTATGACTTGTCTAACTTCAGCTAACAAAACCTGCATATCAACTCAAGTAACTATCTAGCACTAAGCTTCCCATGTTCAATGGATGTTGCACACTACTATCCTACTGAAATCCGCAAAATTAAGGCCCTCCTTTTAGCATCACTGATTAGAAACTTATTGAAACAAAATCTCAACCAAAAAGCAGGCCATATTTGATCAGCACAACAAGCACCAGGACGAGAAACCAAAATGGAATCAGGAATGAAAAAAAGAATTTACATGGGATATTGGTCTCTATGAATATGTGCCCCAACACGATACAACTCCAGATGATAGATTGCCTTAGGGAGTAAATCTTTGATGCTGGGATGCTGTGCAACTGCTGTTCGTGCTGCTGATTCAAGAGTCCCCAGAGCCTTTGCTCTCTCCATAGCACTGCTTTCTGCAGCATGTAGAGCAAGATAGCAGAGCAGAATGAGCCCAGGCAGCTGCGTCTTCTCCCCTGAGCGAAGCAATCTCATCAAAGGTGGTACACCTGCAAACTCAATGATTGCCTTTGAATTATGAACACTGTTGTAGTTCTCTGGACAGGAAAACTTCCCCAATGCAATCGCGGCCTCTGCAGCAATATCAGGATTCCAGTGCCCGAGCTGGAGAACAAGGGGCTGCAAAACCCGAGTCTCACTAGCAGAAAACGCTCTTGCAAGCGAGCCAATGGCCTTGATGGCCGCAATCTCAAGTGCCGGGCTACTTCCTTGCTGAGCAACTTTCAGAAGCTGATCTACCACAGACTTGGCAGCGGGATATTTGGTCTTAAAAGCAGAACGGCGGAGGTCAGAATCGGATTCCGCAGCCACTGCGATCTCCATGACAGTCATGATGCAATTGTGCTGAAGCTCACCCCTTTCCCGCTCGATGAGCTTGGAGAGGCAAAGAAGGCCTTTTGTCTCGGTGATCTTGCGACTGTTTGAGACGCTACCTCTGGAGAGCTTCCACAGAGCTTCCGCGCATGCGATCTTTAAAGCTTGCTTCACATCGGCGCTCTCATTCTCCCTCTCCTTACGATTGTGATTGTAGTAATCACGGGAGCTTTTGCCTCTGCTGCTTCCACTTCCGCTGCTACCGCTGGCAGAGGTGGAATTCAGATACTGGAGGTTCGCCATGCCCTGCACGAGGGAATGAATGCTCGCAGATGGTCTGGGCTCGTCAAGGGGAACTTCGAAGGAGAGGAGGGAGACAAGCGGGCGAACCGCGTTCTCACGGGCGAATTCCTCCTGCGAGATGAAAGGGAGGTGGGAAGCCAGGCGGGAGATTAAAAATGCTACTCGGGTCTGGAGGCGCATTGGAGAATCTGATAGAACGTGGACGATGATGGGGACGGCGAGTTCCTTGATGATGAGGGCAACGTGCTCGGGGTCTGAGGCGAGGTTAGAAAGCGCGGCGGCCGCAGCGATCTGAGCATCGACCGATGGCCCGTCGCGCAGAAGAGAAAGTAGCGGCAGCACACCTCCCTCCTCAAGAATAATCTTCTTGTTGCGATCGTTGTCTAGGGCAAGATTGGCGAGGGTGTTGGCGGCCTCGATGCGGTCGGATGCCGAGGAGCCCATCTGCACGGTGGCGATATAGCTCCAGACCCAAGACAGGATGGGATCAGTGCTCGCAATGGGGGGAAGACTGAGGACTATGCCGCCACCAGCGCCGTCGTCGGAGTAGACGGAAAGGAGCCAGTGGAGGTCACCGAGGGAGGCGTCCAGTAAGGGGATAATCTTGCGAAAATCCGTCGATCCGGTGGTAATGGTGACGACTCGGCGGAGAACGCCGGCGCGCTTGCAGCGTCGAACGAGAGCGAGAGCACGCTCTAGGGTTTTGGCGGCCTCGGCGACGATGCGGCGGACGGGCCGGTCGTAAACAGAAGGAGAGGCAGTGGCGCGGCGGATGGCGGAGCGAAGCATCGTGGCGAGCTGATCCACCTGCTTCCCCACCTCGCCGCACTCCAGCTTGAAGGATTCAGCCTCGGCCACCGCCTTGCGCACGCGCTCGGCGAGCAGGATCGGAAGCGAGAGCTCTTCCTCGATGTTCTTCCCGCCGGCTCCGGTACCAACAGCGACACCAGCAGCGGCAGCGGAGGCCACAATCGTTCCGCCGCCACGCCTGCCGTTCATCATATTTGCCGGCGGGTCGGGGCGGGGCGGGTTTAAGATCCAACCCCTTTCAGATGAAGTGGTAGTTGGTGAGAGAGAGATGCGTAGAAGAAGGAGGGGCAGCGGAGGAAGACGAATCCAGCCTGCTGCTCTACCAAGTCCTTTCGACAGGGCGACAAGGGTAAGGAGTACGCTGGGTTTGGCTTTTCGTCCTCTGCGGTTTGTGGGTGGCCGTGCTCTAATTTCATCACTTAATTACTGTGCTTATTTCGCGGCTGCCTTTGATCAAATTATAATCATATCTTAATTAGTTAAAATCTGAGTAAATTATCTTTTGAAGCAAAAATATGTCCACTAATCAACAAAATATCAGAAATATTTCATAAATTGAATGGACTATTATGTTTTAGAACACTTCATCTCAATTCCTAGAAATGAGTTCTCTGTAATGTTTTTTATATGTCAATTAATAGGGTTATTCTCGTGACCCCACCGGAAAAAATTTCTGTCTAGACTCCGGACGTAGCTTTACGTGCGGACTCCAATAATATGCCACCACGTGTGATACATCGCGAAAGTTATTTCGGGGTTATTGAAGTGGAATCACGGAAGTTATTTCGGAATTCGAGGTTCCGCTTTAATATTTTTTTAGGTGGGATCGATATAACACGCATGACAGTATATTACTGGGAGTTCACATATAGAGCTACGTCAGGAGTCCAGATAGAAATTTTTTCCCCACTATTGAACAAGTTGCGATACATCGCGAAAGTTATTTCAGGGTTATTGAAGTGGAATCGCGGAAGTTACTTCGGAATTCGAGGTTCCACTATAATATTTTTTTAGGTGGGATCGATATAGCACGCATGACAGTATATTACTGGGAGTTTACATATAGAGCTACGTCAGGAGTCCGGATAGAAATTTTTTCCCCACTATTGAACAAGTTGCGGCCCTCAAATCTATGATTCTTGCCCCTCAGTGTCACCAGACACGAAGCATGCAACCACCCTCATCTCAACAAGTTCACACTAATCACAAAATTTTTTTCTCTTGTTTTTATTTATTTATAATTAAAAAAAATGAGGACCACACCCAATTTTATTGACAAAAGAGTAAAATAAAGAACTAAAATAATACAAATTATAACACAACACGAGAAAACCCACAACAAATGGAAGACCTATGAAGAGGTCATCACTATATAAAAAAAAAATCAGCAAAAAACATAATAAATGCAGTAGAACAACAAGAGTTATCATCAAGCATCTTTCAAACTTTCATAAGATAATGAGAGCACTAGAAACAAAGCAGAACCATTGTAGCCAACAACTTCTCATTTTCTTCCTTACCACATTTAATTGTGTGATTTGCAACTTTCTTTTTTTTTTTTTGCGTGTTGGAAGGGCTCTTCCACACTCACACATTGTCTCGACAAAGTATTTTACAGAGCCAAAGACTAGGGTATTACAAACGCTCTCCCAAGAGAGAAAATATTATATTCGAAGAACATGCGTTCGAACTCCAATTAAATGAAGCCACCTGTAAAGTGGAGAGACATGCTGCCTGATATTAAACAAAGCACAAAAAAATGATATTTTGGCAGCGACTGAGCTCGGTCCAAAAGCAACTCACTCTTGTCATCCTATTATCGATTGAATTTAGTGTGCATGCCAACATTTTTTATGTTTCGCTTCCAACAAGGTTTTCAAAACATCCAGTGCCTAGGGATTTGTTGATTCGCCGCGTTGTCGTTCGCCAAAGAAAATATTGCATTTTCATACTTCTCTCTCTCTCTCCTCTCACCCTGTGTGCATGTAAGTTGTTCATGTGAGATTTATGTTTTTTTCTAAACTTCTGTTAACTCATGTTAACTGATGAGAACTCATGTATTTGTCTGTTTTGAGTTTCTAAGCATGATAAATCTACGTAAATGGAAGCAAGAATGGAAATCAGAAAAAGGGAAAAAGCACATAGAGCATCCAGGTAAATCGAGACGATGTGAGGTTGTGTTTATTTCTCAAAACTTTATTATTTACATGTTTAGATTGTATGTAACCGAGATATGAATGCATCATATGCATTTTATTTTATTTCTTCAATGAAAAGCTCGACATCTACTTAAATCATATTTAATGTTGATTTAGTATTGGAAAATAAAATATTTAATTTTTTAAGGTTTATTACAAACACAACCAGTACAATACTACTAGAAAACTAACATAATACCACCTCACTATCACCCTAATAACACCACAGTATCACCCGAAAATTAGCATAATAACACAATTATACAATTCGGAAACCAACAAAAAATACGCTCCATTATCATAACAATACCAACTACATTACCATCAAAATACAACAAGAAAAGATGCATAATAACACCATAATATCACCACATTACTATCACAATATGACCTGAAAATAAGCACAGTAACACTACCACACCATTAGAAATTCATCACAATACCTCCACATTTGGTGTTATTGAGGGTAATTTAGTGGTATTGGTGTTATTGCGAGGATTTTTACCAATAAATTAATAAGAGTTTTTGGAAGCCAAGAGGGGCACGAGACAAAACAAAGGTTTAGCCACCATGATGATGCATGCGTGTTCAATTATGCAACTATCACTTAATTAGGGTCGAAAGGGGCTCATAAAATTAATGAAATAAATTTGTAAGCGAACATTTTATAATGTTAGTCAACATCAGCCACTTGGAGTGAATGATTCACAGAATATGTAGATGAAACTTTAGCTATAGTTAAAAATGATTTGGAAAACCAAATATATGTATATAGATATCAATTTAGCAATCATAGAATTAGATGCATTGTGTAAATAAGAAATTTTAATGATATTTAACAAATTAAGATTCTTGGAATTGCATGTTATGCATGAACATGCTAAATGCACACTAAAATTCCCAAAAAAATATGAGAAATATTAGGTGTGGAGTTCACATACATGCAAATTCCTTGTACAACAGTGTTGTACAAGGTTGTACAAGGAGTTTGCATGCATACGAACTCAGTACGTAATATTTTTACCAAAAAACTGTGAGTACCTTTTGAGCGATTACTTGATATATTACCATAAAAGATCAATATTCATTAGCTGAGGTATCTAGTCGACCCTCTAGTATTAATATAAATGAAGATGATATTTGAATAGAATCATGAGGGTGGTTAATTAAAATTTATTACTTTGTTAATTATGGGCATGATTGCTTGCAAGAATAGTATCTTATGATTAATTACATTTTACGTGATAGAGAACTCTAGAAAAAACTCTCAATTAAGATTAAAATATCGGTGCATAAGAATATAATATTGAGCTTTAAAGTGATGATAGATTACTCATTATGGATGAAAGGAGAATTGGATACATAATCATACTTATGAAATGCATGAATATTTTATCTTTATTTTGTTTAACGAAATTTGATGAAAGTTTGTGTAACATGAAACTTGTTAATCAAATTAGCTATTGTCTTTGCTATAGTGTTTTGATATTTAAAAGCATAATTTGGCCATGTTGATATCATTTACTCAATTTTATGTTGAGTACTAAGTTCAAAGGTGTACACTAGAAGAGTAAAATTTAACATTAGGTATATTCTAAAAGAAACAAAGAAGACAATGAGTAAGCTTGTAGCTCAAGATTACTAAAGCTAGCCCATGCATAAGGTGATTTAAGTATTCTCACAAGTAAAAAAGAAAAAAAAAAGAATAAAAAATTAAGACGACCCAAAAAATTTAGTGTATGGCTACAAGTGTTTGACTTCTATTTCTGTTTTCATGAGTCATATTTATAAATATTTAAAATATAGAGTATATTAATATGTCTGATTAATGAGTTTTTACTCACTAAACATCATATTAATTCCCCATATTTTTAAGAAATATTAGATAAATATGTTGTGGTGGGATCCATAACTAGAGAAAATTTGTGCCTCTTAAGATTCAGAGCCTAGCCTGGATGATCAAAGGTTGAACCCACTGACTTTGATGAATCCCATCATAGAAAGTGCAAGGCTCTGATGATCAAGCTAGATAATTAGTTTCGCTCGCCTCATAGGAAGAGACAGAGAGGAGCTTCAGGAGGCTGAAGCCTTATGCAAAAAGAGTGGACAAAGGTCTTTGTGACCATAGATTCTCACTTTGATTTGATTTATATGCAACGAGATTGGTCCCCTAGTGGTCCAGACACTAACAACTACAATTTGAGAATAACGAACATCATTTGGTCGGAAAACTTGAAAAAGAATCTTGATGACCACAACCCTTGATACCTCTATGACACAGTCCACAAGTACCAGCTACCGTGGCTTGCTGCCATGCACCATTTGACCTCCTGCTACCTCAATGCTAATGAGGAAGCTTTTAAGGCATATAAAAAGACTAGGATCAACAAGGCACAAGCGAAGGGGGACGAGAAGTGAGCGGACATAGCAGAGGCTTGGTTGGACGAAGTTGAGGCAGAGATAGAGACTAAGTTGAAGTGACTTTCTATGATTCAAGAGAGAATGATGCTCCAACAAAAAAATTAGCCATGATGAAGACAATAGAGGAGTTTTCTGACGATCGGCCATACACCTCCAGCTAAACACAAAGCTGGTGATCGACTAGTTCTTGCAGATTGTGGGGTTGGTCAATTAGAAGTACTCCAAATTAGAAGAATTCACCAATCTTTTCTCTGTCCCGTCAACAACAACCAATAGAAGTGAGGAGCTTGAGGGGGAGTTTGTGGCAGACGATAGTTTCTCCAACATTTGATGCGACCATGATGATTCCCACACATAGGAGATTTTATTTTTAGTTTGCAATAGAAGAAATAATTATATATATCTTGTAAAGAAAAGAAGGATATTGTAATTGATTGGTTGAATGAAATAAAATGTGGCCATTGACTTGTTTTTTTATTATTGTCTCATTTTTACATTTTTTGCACTTTATCAATTATGCTTGTGGTGCGCGTGCAACGATCGATTGCTCATCCCTTACATTTTGGTTGATAAAGATATGTTCATAGT